GGAATTCACTTCAAATCTAATACGATAGGATAAAATGAATTAATAAGAGGAGATTATGAATGGTTTAATATTTGTAATATGCAATTAAATGTATTTAATCAATTATTTCATTAATGGTAAATAATCATACATGAACTTATGATTTGTAATGTTGTTTTTTAGGTTTATAGTTTTTATTTTTAATTTTATGTATTTAAATTCCCATCTCCTTTGTGATTTGTAAATAATATAGTAAATCGAGTATAAATGAAATGGAGTACAATATACACATCACAAAGAAGATAAAAAGAAGATAATAAAAATAAATAAAAATAGAACAAAAAATCAAAATAATAATAATAATAAATAATTTAGGTATGCAAATCAATAAATAATATGATATATCACAAGTGATGTAACTAACACCTTATTTCATTTCATATAAAAATTTAGAACCTCTAGTATTTGATCTCGCTTACAAAAGTATTAATGACTGACTCCAAACATTGCACCTGGAGCCAAGGAAGAATAATTTGAAACTAGGTTGTTTTATTGAATTATTTTTGACATTAACTTGGAATATAAATGCTCCAATTTTCTATGTCAATCATCAAAGTTAGTTATGTTTCTTTCAATTTCTATTTTGCTCATGCGTGTGTGGACATGCAAGGTGATGGAGGATGTCGTGTTTAGTGAGATGGTGATGTAATTTTCGGTATTCACAGCCCTAATAGGACTGGAAAGCTTTGATTTTTTAAATTGAATTGGTTTTCAACTAAAGATTAAAACTTGATAAAGTAATCACAAACATGAATCTTATATTTAATAAAATAAATCACTTAGAGGATAAGGAAGAAGGACTTGAAACTAGGTTGTTCTGCTGAATTATTTTGGACACAGACTTAGAATTTGGATGCTCCAATTTTCTATGCCGCTCATCAAGGATCAGTTATTTTTCTTTCAATTTTTATTTTGTTCATGCGTGTGTGGACATGCAAGGCGATGGGGGATGTTGTGTTTAGTTAGATAGTGACGTAATTTTCAGTATTCACTGCCCTAATCGAGCCAGAAAGCTTTGATTTTTTAAATGACTTAGTTTTCAACTAAAAATTAAAACTGATGAAGTAATCACATCAATCTTATATTTATAAATAAATCTAGGTATATCGAGTAAAATCATCAACAAATATAGAAAATAGCGAAAGCCAAGATTAAAAATTATAAGGGAAGGACCCTAAACATAAGAAAATACTAGCTCTAACACAGCTTGACAGTGGTGAGTGACATTAGGAAGATTGTGTTTAGACATTTTTTTCATAATGCACACAATGCACTTGGAGGCCAAGGAAGAATCATTTGAAACTAGGTTGTTCTGCTGAATTATTTTGGACACTAACTTGGAATTTAGATGCTTCAATTTTCTATGCCGGTCATCAAAGATCAGTTATTTTTCTTTCAATTTTTATTTTGCTTATGCGTGTGTGGACATGTAAGGCGATCGAGGATGTCATGTTTAGTGAGATGGTGATGTAATTTTTGGTATTCACTGCCCTAATTTGACTTAAAAGTCTTAATTTTTTAAATTTAATTTGTTTTCAACTAAAAATTAAAACTTGATAAAGTAATCACAAATATCACTCTTATATTTAATAAAATAAAAATTCAGGTATATTTGGTAAAATCATCAACAAAATAAGAAAATAGCGAAAGGCAAGATTGAAAATTGTAAGGGAATGACCCCAAACATCATAAAATACTACTCCAAAAAAGCTTGACTGTGCTGAGTGACACTAGGAAGAGTATGTTTGGATATTTTTCCCATAATGCACACATTGCACTTGGAGGATAAGCATGAAGGACTTGAAACTAGGTTATTTTGCTGAATTATTTTGTACACAGACTTGGAATTTGGATACTCCAATTTTCTATGCCAGTCATCAAAGATCAATTATGCCACATTCCCCATCTTTGAAGTTGGTGGTGGCATAAAATAAAGACCATCCATATTTGATCTATATAGAAGCACTTGTTTGGTTGTTTGGTCTTTAACAAAAAAAGTAGAAGGCCGAAATTCACCTATACCTACGAGTTAACTATAGTTTTACTTCTTGTTACAGGAATATAATGTGATCGTAATCTGCTAAAGACTTTAAAAATTTTATTTGAAGTTATAAATATTTAATATATTTAGTCTAAAACTTAGACTAAAGATTGTTTTGGGAATTACCTAAATCTTTTCTTTTCTTTAATACATACTAATTCTATTTTAAAATTATTCACTGAATTATGAGCTTACCTTATCTTTCTTTCCTTATAGATTCTGAAGAAACATTTGCACTTGAGGAACCTTTACTATACAAAGTAATAGATGTGATTTTCGAAAATTTTTGGATCAATTCCCAGATTTAATTAAGAGAATCGTGGAATATTCTGGGTGTATAAGAAAATTTACCCAAGTTTTTTGAAATAAAAAATTTTATATCAAGGAAATTATGGATTTCTACTTGAAACATAATCCCAGAAAGCAATATATAGATGTAAATGAATTGCCATAAAGAGATTAATCAGTGATTCCTTTACCTTTTTAGAGTTAATGAAAATTAACTCTTAGCAGTCAATTTGTAAATTTTTTATTATGGTAAAAAGTGATATTACATGGGCTAAAACATCTATAAATATGAGTTAATCTTAGTTTTCCATCATCACAGCTGGTACAAAAACAAGAAATTCTTGAAGAAAAAGAGATTAAGTATTTAGAAATGGAGGGAAAATGTAATAAACTCAACAGATTCGTAGCAGTCTTATTAGCTATATTGGCGATGGTGTTGAGGGCACATGCGCAACAAGGTGGAGTTCCAAACGAACTTTCATGGGCTTGCGGCAAAGAGTGCGTGGGAAAATGCATCCTCCAAATTTCTAAACCGATCAACTTTGCTCTTTGTTTTGGTCTTTGCATGGTTGGCTGCAAGACTAATCCCAGTCCAGCTCTTTACAGTTGTACTAGTGATTGTGCAAGTTCTATTGTCAGCAACATTTCTCCCGGTATATTTTTCTCCAATTCTTACTTATAATTTTTAGTTATCTTTATCTCACTTCTGAAATTTGGTTTTGTATTTTACAGCTGCAGAGTATGTGGGGGATTTTGTAGACACATGTTATACTAGTTGCAAGCAAAAGAAGTTTAATTAAATTAAATTATTATTGTGTTATTATCAAATAAAAAAATAAATGTATCGTAAGCGAAGAAGTGTATTATTAATTTTAATTTCTATTATAAAGAAATTTTTTCTCCAGTTAAAAGGATTTAATATTATGATAATAATAAGTTAGATTGATTGATTATTCTTGTGACCAATGATGAAAACACCAGCATAAGACAGACGTAAGCTTATAGTGCAAGATCTTCGGCCCCCTGATTTATGAGAATCATGGAGTATTCCCATGAAATTAATTAGGATTAACCAATTAATTTACAAAATTCTTGCACTTAAAATCTATGCTTATTACCTAAATTCTCATCTATTATATTTAATTTTAGCATTATGGAAAAACATTAAGAAAATTATCATGCTGTTGCTAAACTAATGCACAATTAAGGAATTCAAATTTAGATCATAATAATTGTAACAACCTGCTTTCTCTGGAGAGCAAATAGCATTGTCTCACATAAAAAACTGATAAATTTTGTTAACATTATGCTAACTTCTATAAATCAACAATACATTCTTTGTACAGAGTCACAATTCATAAGGTTCACAATAATCCTTCAAAATTACATCACAATAATATATTCAGACCTAGTTTACAATAAACGTCTAAGGTAGCTAAAAGATTCTTTGAAATTTTTCTTTGATCTTGAACTCACTCCTGATTTAAACTAATTTGCATTGGGGGGTCTGAATTAGGGTGAAGTTTACGAACTCAGTAAGAATAAAATAGTGTTCAAAACATAGATATGCAAATATACATTCATACATGTTTAATCAAATAAATACAAATTTTATATTCATAGAAATTCAATTTGCAAGACAACCATACTCATCATCATTATCGCAAAGTATAACAAAAAAAACAATCAATAACCACATTATTTTCATTATCCATTCCAACATATTTATATTTAGGTACCATACATATCATTCTCATTCATATATATCATCATTCTCAATTCTTACCATAATCTCCAATGAAAGAAGAAATCGGAAAGCTTTCGAATGACTTTGGTTCCATATAGTCGGCTCCCTTTTCAATTTTCTATTCCCAAAAATCCTAAAAATTTCACACATATGATTAAAGATTTAATTTAAATGAACAACTGAATATAATGTGGAAGAAAATTTACCAAACTCGGCGTCGAATTCGGGCTTCTGGCTCGAAAGAGTGCGATTTCAATCTCTCTGTTCAATTCCTTAATTTTTGGCCTCGTACAGATCTTTGGATGGATCCGGAATTCCGCGCCATGGTCTGCCTCATGCGGATCTGGTCCACCAACATGCACTTTGCTTCTTATTCTTCAGCAATGCGCGCTTTGCGCTCGACACCACACACCCAACACTGCGCACCACTCGCATCTCTTTTCTCCTAGCCGCGTGTGTCATGCCCTTGGCACTGCACACCGCTTGCAGCTCTTCTTCCAAATGCGTGCCATGCTTCCTTCCTCATCTTCTTTCTTTTTCTTCCTCTTCTTCCTCTTCTCTTCTTCTTCTTCTTATTCTTTTCCTCTTTTTTTCTTCTTCTTTTTCGACGGCAACACGGGCCACGTGCCCGACACTGCATGCAACTTTTCTTTTCTTGCTACATACACCATGCGTGATGCTTCTTTCTTTCTCCTTATTCTCCTCATTTTTTTTTCTTCTTCTTCTCCACCGCCCCTGCCCCCTTTCTGCTAGGGTTTCTTTTTCTTTTTTATTTTTATTTTTATTTTTTATCTTTATTTTTTTTTATTTTTATTATTTTTTATTTCTAGGCCTAGACTTGGGCTTTCTCCTCTCCCTTGGGCTTGGTTATTACAATAACAATAGATATAAAAGGAATTAATAGGAGGAGATTATAGTCATTTAACTTTTTTAATATGCAATAAAAAATAACAGGTAATATTTACGATTTTTTCATTATAATAAGTAATCATTTTGAACCTGCTCATGGATGGATGATCTGAAACCTAATCCATATGTGGATAGGTATGTTTGTGTTCTGACTTGATTTGTGTAATGACCCCGGAAACTCCAAAGGTGATAAATTATAAATTTAGTGTGGAAGCGTAACAATAAATTAGAGTTTACATTCCTTACACAATAACTAAAAGTACCAAAATATGGCTTACATGAATAATCATTCTAAAAGAACAAGTAATAACCAAAGAAATAAATTAAAAGTAAACAAATGGAATGTCCTACTTGCAACCCTCTTGTGGATCGGATTTTGGATCTTGATCCTCTTAATATGAAATGGTTAATGAAAGAGTGAGCTACACTATCCCTGTAAGAATATCATGCTACTCATCGACACAGAAATGAAGGTTGGTAAAAATCATAAAAACAACTAATGAAGCTCTTAATTTAAGTAAATCTGTTTGTCATAAATAAAATTATTTACTACATACTTACCGTAGTGAAATTTTTAAAAATAATCTATAGAGTCAATAATGTAACACATATCATAATTTCATATACGATCAGTCGGAACAATGACCTTCCTTTTTATTAGCCTACTGGTATCTATGGGGGTCCATAGAGATGTCCCCACTACGCGTGAGCCCTCATTTTACATTTTACAATTAACGGATCGTCCCCATATCCCGTCCGGTATAAGTGCCAAAAGATATCATTCCTCAATACCCCGTCTGGTATGAGGGTGAAATGGTCCGTCCCCATACCCCGTCCGATATGAGTGCTAAATTACCAAATCTCGATACCCCGTCCGGTATGAGGCAACATTCACGGTAGGGTTCCTTATGTACCCGATCCGTCCACCATCTCCTAGGATATCCAGTAAGGCTGTCGTTTCATCCATCCACTTAATCAAACAATTTTTTTTTTCTTTTAATTTTTAATTTTCCAATTCAACATAGTCACACAAAACAAACCAAACATGCATCAAAGGAATACAATCGCATCATCATACCAATTTTAATATATTATCATGAATTCAAAAATTATAAAATCAAGCAATCAGTTAAACTTAGCTAACAATAGTAAATAACCGGTTCCGGCTCCATTAGTAACCTATAATTAATTATGAATGTTTTCTAAGTTTTACAAAATACCATATTATTTAAAATTAAACTTTAATTCCATAATAGGGAATAACGTGAGAGATTCTTACTCAAATTGATATCTGAAATGCTAAACTTTTGACTGCGGCTCCGGGCGATCTCTGGGTTCCCTAAATTTTTTTTCGAGAATTAAAATGCGTTTTAAGTATCTATAAATATCCAAAAAATTCAAAATCAGTGTTAGGAATCCTTTTTGGCCAATTCCAAAATTTCACACCACAGCTTCGCCGTGCTCGGGCGATGGCACTGCCGCCTGCAGTGACAATTTGCCTCGGATCGGCCGTTTTTGGCTATTTTCAGCCGAATTCGACCAGTTTTGTACTAATCCCTGTGAGAAAACATGTTAAGGGGTCTCGGTTGACCAAAAAAGTCGAAAAATTCAAACTTACCAGCGGCGGGGTTCTCTGGTGCAGCGGCTCCGCCGGCTCACATGACAGTTGGGTGTTTTGCTTCGATCAACTTGTAGAGAAGAAAATGGTGATTACAATGGTGGAAGAATTACACAAAATGAAAATCAGAAAGGGCCTCATTAGAAGCAGTTTTTACATTTTTCTGCAGCGACGCTGCCGGATTTTTTTCGTAGATTTCGGCCATTCCACCGGTCCTTTTGCTCTGATTTGGCCATGATGGTGTTTAAAATCGAATTTCGAGTAAATAAGAAAATTTTTGCCTCTTTTGGCGGTCGTGAGTGGCTCTAGCACGGTGGCAGCGGCGGTCGGCTTCCTTTCTCGACGGCTGGGTCTTTTTCTCCGGCGCGG